TTTTAGGTCGAATTTTAAAATTAACTATTCAACCTAAAATCGGATGCTGATTTTAAGCTGATTGGTAGTTTTTAGGTCGATTATAGGTCGATTATAGGTTGATTATAGGTCAAATTTTTTGGCCGATTCGACCTGAATTCGACCAAAAATTTGAAATTCAACCTTCGATTAGAGGTCGAATTTCACCTTTTCAACCAGTGTAAGAATTTTACTAAAACATACCTATGAGTATTACATCTATGCATGCATTATCTCAAAAACTAGCTAATTAATCAGTACAAGGTGTTCTAAATAAAAATGTTCTACGCTCTAAAACTCTTCTCAAACCCTAATATTAACTTAAAAACTAACTTTAAAATGAAAAAATTTAAGTCAAAAATTTATATAATAAATAATAAAAACATATAATAAATGCAAAACATACTATAGGTGCGATTTATAATAATTGTTAATTAATATGAAATAAGGACTTAATTAGGCATTCCACTCTGCAATACAGCTATTCATCGCATCTAAGCCTTTGCAACTATCTCAAAATTTTGCTTATTGACGATCTAATAAAAAAATTTCTTGCTAATTTTGCTATAAAATACTCTAACTCTAAACGAAACAGATTTTAATCTTTTTCTTAGAAAATCGTATGACACGCGATGAATAACTGCATAGCAGGGTACGTACGATGTGTATATTTATCTTTAAAATAATATTTTAAATTTTTTTATATTTATATACATAATTGCATAATGCATAATGCTTGCATTATGTGATGCAAAGGCAAAAAAATATACATTTTTACATCTCTAAAAATTTTTGACAAAACTATTTGATTTAATTATAAATTAATTAAGCTGACATTGTCAATTAAGCTTATGAAAATTCACTCGAACAATACCAAATTAACTTCATTTTTTTAATGCTATTCTAAATATTAAATATATGGCGAACCATATTCTAGTTATTAAATAAAATCTAGTTATTAAATCAAATAAGAGGAGCACAAAAGCATGAAATTTGAAGAGAATCGTGCACATTAGAAGTAGGATCACTCAGATAATTAAAAATTAAATGTTTCGGAGTAAGATTAGCAAACCCTGCAATGCAGTTAGCTGGGCAAGCATTATGTAAAAAATTAACAAATGTTGGTTCTTTACATGTCCATAAGGGAGCACCTTGCAACTTTGGAGTATTATAACGGATACAAGAATCAGAATTTCTTAATAACCTATCAAATTGATTTCTATGCAACTGCAAATTATCAGAGCGGCTTTGTCGAATAACACTATAATTAAGAATTAATTAGAATAATAATAATGTAATAATTTCAAGAGAATTAAAGATACAAACCCGCAGTGGATAAAAAAACCAGAAAATTCCATATTATGGTGTCTTTTTTGTCTTAATTTAAGGTCGTAAATAAAATAGCATGCTTTTAACTGTAGATCCTTATAAAAAAAATGAATACCTATCACTAAATCCGAAATAATCGGATTTTCGCGATCTTGTTGAGGTATTCGTTGTGCGCATGTTGCCAAAAGACTACAATTTTGAACTTCATTAAAGTTTTCGTAAATATCAATAATATTTTCATAATTTTGAATACATTTCTCACAGCTGTTGGTGACGCAGAAATTAAAATTTTTATGCTTAAAGCTTTTTGGGTAGCCGATAATAATCCAACCTAATTGTAATTTGAATTTTTTGACTTTTTTGCTTTCTCCGATCCGATGAAGAACTAAACTCGCCGTAGAATCTGATGTATAAATGACACGAATTGAGAATACGTCATCTTGATTTTCTAAGCTCATAACAGATGCAAAAAGTTTACATTCCATCAGATTATTATTAAAATCAGGCGGTATTTTTAAAATATGTATAAAGGGACTATTTTTGGGCGGTAACATGGAAAATTCAACCGGGTCCTTCGCGCTATGAAGGATTTTTGGGCCAATAATTTGTTTAATAACTTCTTTACGAAGTTCAGGATCTAATATATCGAATATAGGAATTAAGTCGTAATATTCAATGGCGCACCATTTAGTATAGTCATTTAAGGAATCCCGCCAAGAGTCAATGTTATCTCGGCTAAATTTATTTTTATCTCCTCCATATACACGAGTATAAGTGTCAGCTGTTGATTTTTCTGAAGATTCATTAGTTCCTTGCCTCCTATTAAAACCAAAATTCACACTACCCACAATTGCAGAACCAAATCCCGCACTAGCCGACCACTTTTTTGACTTTTGAAGTTTTAAATTTGAAGCGTTGGAATAAGTAATTGTTTGTATTTTTCCTCCAATTATGATTTTTTTAGCTATAAATTCACCGTAAATTCTGCATATTTCTTTAAGTTCTTCTTTAGGATTGTTGCTTTGTAAAGCAGATTCTATTACTGTTTTCAATTTTTTGTTGAATTTCTTTGTATGTAACTTGTTTTTGTTGATAGTTAAGTGCAGTTTTAATGAGTTAAAATTCATTTTTAATTTGATTTAGTAGAGGTGAGTTTGTTGAGATTGAGTTGTCTAGATATTCAGTTTAGTAGTTGAGAAGGAGTGTTGAAAAGTTTGAAGATAGAAGGTGATTTTTGAGATATTGAATTTGTTTATATCTATAAAAAAGAGGTAATTGTTTAGTTGGAGAAGTATTATGGAATTTTTTAATAGTTCGAATTTTTTTAAAAAGAATATATTTGGTAGCTACTTTGATTAAAACTTTATAGATTTTGTTCCAAGTATTGTTAAATTGATTTTGATTTGTTATTGAATTAATTTGAGAAGTTATTTATTGTAAGCTTTGAGTTGTTTGATTGGAATAGTTTTCAAGTATTTCTTTAGAGCAGTTTTTCCAAAGGAAGTATTTTCTTTTTTGTTGTTTAGAGAGTTTTGGCTTGTTAATAATAATTGAAATTTTGAGTGTTATGATATTATGATCAGAGTTAAATATGTTATCAAAAATAATATCTGTATAGTCAATAATAGACATTAATAGGTTTGTTCAAATTTGATCAATTTGACTTGAGATATAAAAGTGGTAAAAGGTAAAATTTTTTGTTTTTGAGAAGAAATGACAGTAGATATCTTTGTATTGATAGCTTATTAAGAATTTTATAAGTTGAAGTTCTGGTATAGATGTTTTTTTAGGAAGAGATCAGTCTAAGTATGTATTTGAAACACTATTAAAATCTCTCATAATTATAATTTTATAGATTGGCTGTTGTAGTAAAGAAATAATATATTCTTGTATTTCTTTGCAAAGTTGTTTTTTTTCCTGTGTAGGGATATAAACTTGTAGAAATCTTGTTGGTGAGTTTTTGAAATGGAAATCAAAACCAATTACATGACCTTTATAATTATGTATATAAGCAATATATTTAGAGATTTTTTGGTAAACAAAAATTCCTACACCTGCTTGATAAGAGTGAGTAAAGGAGCTCCAAAAGCTTTGGTAGTTTTTGATTTGGTTATTAAAGATTTTTTCTTCTTTTATAGATAAATGTATTTCGAAAGACCTAAAATATCATATGTATTATTGTCAAAAGCTTCAGTTATTTAGAGTTTTTGTTTGGTTAAAGGAGGCTATTTATATTTATAGAGGCAATTTTGATTGGAATTGATGTATATTCAATTTCAATAGAGGAATTGTTAATAGTATTGTTGAAGTGGAATGTATTATTAGAAATGAATCTAATTGGTAAATGACAATAATTAGATTGTTAATTAATTAGTAGTTGAGTATGATTCAAAAGAAGTGGATCATTTTTGTTAGTATAAATATGTGTTTCAGAGTATGTAGAATTAATAGAGATTTTAGAGGATTGGAAGAAGTTGTTATTATAGAGATGTTGGATAAAAGAACCCAGAGTTTGTAGTTTTTGTAATAAAAGTAAGTTGTAGTATGATAAGAATATATTGTAGCAAGTATTTAGTGAATCCTCAATAGGAGTTGAAGTGGTAGTAATTGAGGATAATTGTAAGTCTACTGTAAAAGCGCTCACCATATACCCAGTTCTTACAGTTGTGGAAGGTTTTATAGTCTGCTTTATATGTTGAGTCTGATCATTATAAGCTTGATTCTTTGTATAAATAGACTTTCCCACCTGTCTACTTACTACATTTTCCTCTAAAAATAGCCTACAAGAAGTGGAAAACATCATTATTTTAGAGACAGTAGTTGTATCAATGTAATTTACAGAAGATAAACTTAGAAATTTTGAGTAGTAATTTCTGTATATGAGAGTTTGGGACTATTGGGTGTTGATTCAATAGTTGCCTCAGTTAGGTTATCTTCTTGTTGTAAAGAAGAAGAATCTTGAATTGTATATGAATTGAAGAGAAGAGATTGTTAGATCGATTTTGGTTGTTTAAAATTAATTTTGAATTTTTATGAATTAACAAACTACAACCAATACTAAAAACTCAGACCAAGAATCTAAATATTCATTCAAATACCTTCTTTGCTCTTTAGCTAGACAATATCCTGAATTTTTAACAAATTTTATTTATGAAGCTAATCCTGAAATCAGTTGTAATATTGAAATTCCTTTCAACACTCTCTATTCTACCTTTATTTCACTTCTTAGGTTTTTTACAGAAGTTTTATTCACTAAACTCAACTACAAACAAATCTTCTGCTCTCATATCAATATTTCACTATATAAAATTCCAAACTGTATTTGTATAGCATTAAACTTTACAAGACTACATCTATATTTTAACCATTCATATAAAACAATTAACTACACACAATTTACTAAAGATTTAGGTATCAAACCTATTCGATTCCAACTCCATTATACCTTCTATGAAGACCAACTCGATAAACCTTTAGTTACTATCAAAAGTGATCATAAATTTAATATTTATGTTGACTTAAATATTTCTAAACAAGAATTTTTAAATTCATATAGAATAATTTCATTAAAAGAATGTAACTATACTATTGCAAAATGGTATAATTCTTTTTTTGAAATTTATAGCTAACAATTTATTCTCATTGACAAAACCAAAACAATGAATTATATCAAACACCAGATCTATTTTCAATTTTCTTCTTATCAAAAAAAACTTCTTCCTAGTTCTTTTGAATACTTAACTTCTACTTCACTCCAAGAACGCTCTAAACAATCAACCAAAGCAACTCTCTTCCATCTTCACACTTGTGAATTTGATACTACTCAAACTTGTCCTCTAATTTCAGCTGATCAAAAACATAACTTCTCTACTATTTCAAAAAATATTTTCAAAAACTCTTATATTCGTTTTTCTATTACTTCCAAAATGGATATTGATAGGGAGGATACAAAACCAAGACTTATCCATCCTACTCTTAACTGTGAAATATTTGATAAAAACCAAAAACATGAAGCTAGCTTCAAAATTCCAACTCCAATCCTACTTTTAAATGAACTAGCAGATAATACTGAAAAAGAATTTATGTCTCTTAACAACTCTATAACTAATATTAACTAACGAACATACTACTTTTATACTTATTTTAAAGCTTTTCTCTTAGCTGCTAGCAGAAATGATAGCATCTTTGAGCTAAGCCAACATGATGCAATTATAAAAGTTACCCAAAACCCTATTGATACACACTATCTTGCATGTATCCTTACATTTTATTATATTTCACATCAGAATCCCATTAGCTTATCTCAAATTTGTTCAAAATATAAAACAACTTTCTATCCTCAAGCTCAACAAATAATTCATGACAAATTTAAAATTAACTTTAAACAACCAAAATCTATCTAACAATCTTTTCTCTTCAATTAACATACAACTCAAGATTCTTCTTCTTTACAACAAGAAGATAACCTAACCGAGGTGACTATTGAATCAATACCCAATAGTCTCAAACTCTCATATGCGGAAATTACTACTCAAAATTTCTAAGTTTGTCTTCTGTAAATTACATGGATACAACTACTACCTCTAAAATAATAATATTCTCCACTTCTTGTGAGCTATTTTTAGAGGAGAATGTAGTAAGTAGATGAGTGGGAAAGTCTATTTACGCAAAGGATCAAGTTTATAATGGCCAGACTCAATATATAAAGCAGGCTATGAAACCCCCCACAACTATGAAAACTGGGTATATGGCAAGCAACTTTACAGAAGACATCCAAATTTCTCAACTATCACTACTTCAACTCCTATTGAGGAAATAACAAATTTATGTTACAACAAATTCCAAATTACCACAACATACCTATACTTCTAAAACTACAAACTTTAGGTTCTTTTATCTAATATCTCAATTACAACAACTTTACTCAACCTCTCAAAATTTCAATTAATACTACATATCATGAAACACATATTTATACTAATAATAATGACCTATTACATCATCTCTTCCTAATGATCCCTAAAACCAAAATGATGATAAAAAGGAAAAACTTTTATATATATAATAATACTCTATTTTCTAATATAATATATACGAGTGAAACTAGAAAAATCAGAAGTTCAATAAAATATGTTCTTTCGTCAAAGAGTAGGCTATGAGCTATTCATGAATTATTAGCGCTTTTATATATTGTATATATTATATATCTTGTATATATTTTATATACTTTATCATTAGAAATAAGCTCTATAGATATAAAAGTCAAAGAAAATACTTGGATAGAGTCGAGTATAATACTACTCCTTATACTTTTCAAGTTTATTTTGGATATCCTTACTCTCACTTTTAAACCTTTGGTCAGTCTTGGGAACAGTTTCAACCATTTGGCGAACTTGGAGTATTTTTTGTACAAAAAATAGGGAATAGAGCTCACCCCTTACCAAAGATCAGCATGCACATCATTGACAAATTTGGAAGTAGACTTATGGTATGACAACAACAAACACATATGTGTTTTGAAGTTAGCACAACAAAAATGTGATTTTATTTTTAATATAAACTACGAGTTTACTGCAATAATAACGAGCTATTACGTGTTCGATGAATTAACCAAACCGTTATTGAATATTAGAGATATTTGCAAATAAGTGCATTTTGCATTTATAATTTTTAACTACTCAGTCTTAGATAGGATTATATGTTTAGATTATGATTTTTATAAGACGCCTTTTATTTTCTTTTTCTTTTTCTTTCTTTTTGTTTTTGTTTTGTGCTTTTTCCTTTTAGCTTGTTAGGTTTTTATCTTGTTAGCAAGTTTTCTTAACTTTGCTTTGAACGTTATATATAGTATGTAGCCTTGCTTTTCACTATATGTAACAATTTTATTTTACTTTTATTAATGTCCATCTTCCTAGACAGTCAGACAAAATTGTCTAGACTTCTCTTTTTTTTTATGTTAAAGAGGTTTTTAGTGTGACAGATCACGTTTG